GGTCCCTTTAAGCACAGCCCTCGGCTAGCCTGAGACAGCATCTCCACGCTCTAAGTCCTCATCTGATGCCCTGCCGGCACTGCTTCCGGCCATCCTTAACCCCGGTTCAGGGTCCACTTAATGTGGACATGCTAGTTCGAATTAGCAAACGCTAATTCGAACTAGTTTTTTAGTCTGGATGCGTTAGTTTGAATTAGCTTAGTTTGAATTAACTAATTCGAACTAAGTTAGTTTGAATTACCGCTGTAGTGTAGACATACCCTGAAGCTCGTGAATAAGTGACATTCTCGGGCATTCGCCCACCTGACTTCATATCGACTCAGCTGCTCCCAGCTGGGCTGTCATACCGGTAACAAAGAATAACGTCCTCGAATATCTTCCCCACTAGCACCTTGGGAGAGATGCGGTCGATCTCTCTAAACCCCAGGCTCCTGTACAGCCTCCGGCCCTCCCAATTCCAAATTCCCACAATCAGGGTCACCCCCTTGTAGCCGCGCTGCTGGGCGAAGCAAAGGACTGTCCTGCACAGAGCTCTGGCAATGCCCCTCTTCCTCTGACCGACAGCCGGGCCAAGCTCAGCGTGCGCTCGCCATCCCCAGGAGGGGCAGAGGGCTTGGCACCGACTGTGGCCACCACCTCCCCATCAGACTCTGCGCTCGCCATCTCCAGAAGGAGCAGAGGGCTTGGCACCGACTGTGGCCACCACCTCCCCATCAGACTCAGCCACCCAGAAATGGGAATCTTCCCCCTCCAGGTAGGTTTTCTGGATGTCCCGCAGGTCGTCTTCCAAACACAGCTGGATGAACCAACCAAAGTAAGAGTCCAGCAGGCGCCAGGCGGCAGCTAACAGGGCAGGGGCAGCCAGCAGGGCGAGGAGCAGGGAACCGGAGCTCAGGAACAGCGCGACGCTCACAGCGAGGAGGCCCAGGAGAGTGCGTTGGCGCGTCAACATATGCCAGTAGCACTTGGAGGCGTAATCGCGCATGCCGGTCACGAACAAATTCCTCACCTCCTGCCGGCCGCTGTCGTGGTAATCCCGAATGCAGTAACCCGCCGTGGCTCCTGGCATGCTGCCGTCCTAAGGAAACCAACTGTTAATTGGGCTGCTTCTCCGACAGGCCTAATGTTCACGCCACTCCCTCCGCAAGCGCCCGCCCCGCAGGACGCAGGCAGGCCAAACTCCCCCCCACTGCAGACCCTGCACACCTCAGCTGTCTGAAGCGGGGGGCAATGGGGAGGC